TGTGCGTCTGCATCCACTCTCCGAGACACGGAAGTCCATCATGGCGTGCTGTTTCCTACGGGCACAGTCATTAAGTACGCAGCTGCCAACGGGAAGGTCAGCAGTTTGCACCCACCTGCCACCCTGCTCCCATAAAAGGCAGCTGTGGAAACCCTCAGGGGTGGTTCCGCTCAGTCCTGTGGGCTCCCAGTGAGTCAGATGCAACTGGAAGGCAAGTGGATGGCTGCCTAAGGGCACAGAGGTGAAGCACCTGTCACTGGCAACCACTTCAGTCCCCCTGGAAGCAGTGCAGAGCGGGCCAGGAGCCCAGGAACAAAGCTGGAATGGGGACCAGCAGAGAAAACCAGCAGAGGAAGCCAGCTCTCACCTGGCCTGATGCCGAGCCATTCATTTACAGTGAAAGTGGGGGCTCTGAGCTCCTCCTGGCTTCTCCCTCCCAAGTGCCTTCATTGCCCAACAACCTTGGCTTGTGTACGAGACTGAAGCAACTGGGCCTCACAACCCACAAGTGGTACTGCGCCACCCTCTGTTGTGTACAGCACTTCTCTTCAAAGCCCTGGAGAGCAGAGCGGCTGACCTGACCTCAGTCAAGTGTGCAGATAACCAACAGTCCGCGTCTGCTGAGAGCAAAGCAATGGGGGCAGCATGATCGAGGCCGAAAGCCAAGGGGGTGGGGCTGTCTTCAGGGTGGGAGAAAGCCAGGCCGTGAGGCCTGGTCAGGCCGAGAACATGGTGACCAGCCAGTAGGAAGAGTTGTGCTTCTTGGAGACGGATGTGGGCCTTGTGAAAAATACCAAAGCCATCCAGCTCGCCGGTTCTCATTCCTTGTCTGTAAAGAAACCTTCTGGTTTCCATGTGGTTGCTCATGGAGCATTTCCTACAGGGAGAGAGCTCGCTAGCTTGCTGACAGCCATAGCCAATTACCTCCCAGGGCACAAAGCTCATGATTTAGTACAATGCCACTCCAGCATTCTTGCTTTCAAGTCACGTCTGAGTCTGGTTCGTGGGAATCAATTCACCAGGATCACATGAGCAATATGAAAAGCAAAACAAGTACCAACAATTGCTGTTGCATTAACTTGGCCTCACGGCAGCCTCCTATGAGTCAGGGGAGAGCTGTGCTTCATCATGTTCGCAATGGCTGGTTTTTGGAAGGAGATTGCCAGGACTTGCTCCTGAGGCACCCTGGTTGCCAGGACTTGCTCCTGAGGCACCCTGGTTGCCAGGACTTGCTCCTGAGGCACCCTGGTTGCCAGGACTTTCTCCTGAGGCGCCCTGAGTGGGCTCAGGGCGAACCTGCCGCCTTTGGGTCAGTAGCAGCTGCTTTCATCCAAAGAGCAACTGCTCTCATCGCCCGGGAGACAGCAGTTGGGATGAACAGATCTGATTGAGTTTTTAAAGTTCTGAAGTCCAGGCCTAGAGCCAGGGGTGTATGTGTGGTGACCTGACCCAGGCAGTGTGCGCCACCCGACCCACGGATATAAAAATAAACCACTTCTGTTTGCTGGCATGGCTGGTTAATCATTTTCACGGATTGTTAGCACTTACCTACTCATGTTATTAAGAGAGACCCATCGCTGGGAAAGGGCCTTCTGCTTGGTAAAGAAAAGGGGCAGAGGGAAGAGAAAGGCCTTGGACAAGATAGATGGACGCAGTGCCTGTGACAATGAATTCAAACATAGCGACAACTGTGGGGACAACTGAGGACGGCACTGGACCGGGCAGTGTCTTGTTCTCTTGTACGTGACTGACCTGACAGCACACAACAACAACAACCTCATAGTAGTGACTCCACTGCCTTCCAGTCGATGCCGAGTCACAGCAACCCTGTAGGACACAGAAGAACTGTCCCTCTGGGTCTCTGGGGTTAACTTGTTACGGGATCAGAAGACCCCATTTTCCTCTCACCAGCTAGTGGTTTCGAACTGCTGACCTTGCAGTTAGCAGTCCAACTCGTAGCCACTCCGCCACCAAGGCTCCTATTGTGGTAACAGCCATTGCGAGCTTCCAGCTCACTGCCATCGAGTCGATTCTGACTCATAGCAACCCTGTAAGACAGGGCAGAGCTTCCCACGAGGCCATTAACTCCTTATGGGATAGAAAGCCTGCGGAGTGGCTGATGGTTTCAAACTCCTGACCTTGTGGTTAGCAGCCCAACAAGTAACCACTATACCACCAGGGCATGGTTGTTACTTCACCGGGGCTCCAAACGTTCACTTCACTCTTTCCTACAGAAACCATGTTTCATGTTTTCTTCCTGGGATGGATGGAATCCACAAAAAAGCCAGCAGCCAAATGGTTCCACTCCACGGGTGACTGCCTGGGTGAGGCTCACAGGACCTTTGTCTCAGCTAATGGGCCGAGCCTGCCCACAAGGCAAGCAGGGTTCCCCTGCTACAAAGCTCACGAAGCTGCATGCACGAGCAAATCAATGTTCTGTGGTCCTATTTTCAAATCTGAACAATCTGGGAGGCCCGTCGCCTAGCGTCTCTTCCAGACAAAGAGGTCAAGGGCCAACACCCTCCTAGCCCAGCCTGCGGAATGCCTCTGACTTCCCTGCTTCCTTCCATTGAGGACGGGGGGCTCCTGACACTCGTTCTTTGTTTGTATCAGCGAGGAAGGTGCTGAGCTTCTCCACAGCAGGTTATCTCTCTGAACATTATTCAGGCAAGTGGACATTACGAGCCCCCTTGAAATTGTGAGAAGATAGGCAGGCCCGATATCAGCACCCACTTGAGTCAGTTCCGTGCGCTGCCGGGTCTCCTCTGGAGTGGGGAGACATTACTTGGAGGGTGTGCCATCTGGGCTGAGCTGACCGCCTAAGAAGGGATGCCGCCTCGCTCACCAGGGCCTCTAGCACACTCCATCCTTAGACGTTCCTAGCAGCTGCAGCCAGGCAGGCCAAGCTGTTTTTGCAAGGCTCACACCCACGGGAAGATGTTGGGCAGAACAACGACCTACCTACAGAAAAATGAAGCGCTCCCTGATAGTAAGGAGTATTTCTCCTTCCCAATGATGGACACCGTGAAAAGGAGCAGGATCCGGAGTGAGCTAGTTGTCAAATATGACAACCAGGAATGTTTACAGGGCAAGCACGCAGGAGAAAAGTCCAGGGCTGGGGCCTATTGCAGTCACTCTCGCTGCAGTCCGATAGATCACTGTGTCTAGTTCATCGGGGGCGGGGGAGGACAGTGCTGCTCTCTGGAAAGCTGTAGAGGCAACTTGCTTGTCCATGAGGGTTGATCGATCGTTGCTATCAGGAGCACTGGGAAAATCCTGTGGGTGCAGAGCTGCCCAGTGTGCTGCCTGTTGTTTTCAGCCTGCTTAGAGACCCGGCTCAGGAGTCTTCAGATGATGGATGGGACTGGGAAACCAGGCACAGTGGGCCCGTGACAAGGAGCAACAGCATGAGGCCGAAAGCCAGGAGTTCTGACTCCTCACGCTGCTTGCTGCCAATCTCGTGCCGTCAACATCAAGCCTGGCCACAAAATTCTAAGGAAAGCCTCCTATTGCCATAGCGGCTGCCTGCTCCAATGTCAAGGCTTAGGGAAGTCATTCTGCGTACAAACGGAACAGGGTTCTATAGACATCCGTGTACATCAAATAGTGGCTCAAGAAGCAAAACAAACAGATGAATGGACCAGCCGAAGGAGCCTCTCCATAAAATAGAGTTTCATTGAGCCAACCAGAGAGATGACGTTCGGACGTGCGGCTGAATCTTGAAAACAGTATGCTGAGCGAAATCCATACCACCCCACCCATTGCCACGGTCAATTCCAATGCTTAGGGAGCCTACAGGACAGAGTCCGACTGCCCCGACCGACGGGTTTCCAAGGCTGTACATCGTATGGAAGCATATGGTTCTTGCTCCCGGAAGAGCAAAACACAATGGGTGGAATGGGAAACCCAGTAAGGGAGCAGATAAAAGACCATCTTTGACCTAACTCCAGAGAAGAGATCTCCAGTCTAGGCCAGACAAAGTTCTCTGCAGCAAAGGGCCTGGGCTAGCAGTCATTCCTTTAAGCTGGTTGACCATCAAGCTGGGCAAGGCGGGGCCTTTGATTGGAATGCGAATGGAGGATTTAGGGAGCACACGTAAATACCACAGGGCCCGTGTTAAGGGTCTGTGTACCTAGAAGTTCCCTAAAAGGGCATGCAAAGTTGTGTGACTGTATGAATGTATCTGGGGACAGGGTCCACAGCTCTCGCTCGGTTCTCAAAAGGACCTTTAAAGCTCCTGCACAAAAGAATGAAACTACGGCAGAACGTGGTCAATGTGCTTTGGAAGTGAAAGCAAAAATTATGCCGCAGTAAGTACCTTAGCACAAGCTTAGCTTTGCAGCTCAGCAGAATCTGGCCTTTGCCCATATCCTCCAGGCCAAGGGCATTATAATGGGTAAAATTCTCTTGCAAGGATGGTGAGCATCTACCAGAGCTGTCATCTAAATCCACACCGAATGACAAATGAATGTGTGCTGCAGATAATGAGACGGAGCCAATTCAGCAGGGACATTTCCAGAATTCCCTGGGGAGCACCAGATGCCATGGACCGCCAGTCCCTTCTCTGATCACCATCTCCTAGGTTTCCATTATATGCAGAGCTCTGTCTGCCAGGGAGCATTGGGGATGATGAGAAAGGGAAATTCATTCCCCATCTACAGACAAACGTGTTGGCCTAACCCCATCCTAAAAGTAAGTCGTGTAATAAGCATTTGAAAATATAACTGTACCAAGAAGTCGTCACTTACAAATAACCATCCTGTGGACTTAAGCCAAGACAAAACCGTAGTAACCACAGAAACATCGGTCATCTTCAAACAACGACAAGGTGCCCATGGCTGGCAATCTCGTTCTCCATGGTTATGGCCGGGGAGCCTGAGGGAGCCTGAGGCAACGCTTCTATTTGTACGACAACTTTTCTCATAGTGATTCCCTTAGTGATGTCCTAATACGGCCACCACAGTTTGTGTCTCAAACCCAAATGGTGAAGCGGTACTTACAATATGTAGGCAATCACTCCGATGGACCAACAATCAACAGCTTTGCTGTAAGGTTTCTGGGCAAGGACTTCAGGAGCTGTGGGAAGAGAGGACAAAAGTGTGGCCGTTTCAGTGACTGTGGCATAAGACGATGTTCGGTTTCTTCCGTCTCTGAGTAGGGAGAAAAGACGAATTTGATCTGCCAGCTTTTCTAGCTAAATAAAAATTGAAGACAATGTGTGTGTATGTGTATGTGTACAACAAAATTATCAATCTAAATCCATTAATAGACACTTAATTGCTATCTATTATATCTTTGGGCTGTGCCCAAGGCTCACCCAGCTGAGGCAGAAAAAGACAATATGGGGCACTTGTGACTTCACCTTAATCCCAACTGAAAGACCATTTGTATAGAACCTCGCCAGATGCTGCGGGGTGCTGGGTGGTAGGTGCTGTGGGTGGTGGGTGTTGTGGGGTACTAAATATTCTTCCATCTGCCTTCATGGAGTTTACAATTGAATAGAAAGCCCAAATCCACTGCCATCAAGTAGATTTCAACATAGAAACCCTATATAGGGTTTCTGAGAGAGTAAATCTTTATGGGAGCAGACAGCCTCTCCTTCTCTCACAGGGTGGCTGGTAGACTTGAACCACCAATCATGTGGTTAGCAGCCTAACACCTAATCCACAGTGCCACCAGGGGATTTGTACTAGGCTTACTCTAAGTTCATTCTGCAAGGCTTTGGGGTAGGTTCTCTGTCTTTTCATTGTCTTATCTGTGGAACAGGAAAAGCGCTACTGAATCTCACTTTCCTGTTCTGAAGTTGCCCGGCCTCGGGGAGGGGACTGCACTGAGTTTGTGCTCTCCTTGAACTCCCTCTTCCTGGCCTCGTGGCTACAGATGAGGCCCAGGCGCCTGGCATAGTTGACACTCAAAACAAATTGGTAAGGAGTACATTGATACAAGAAAAGACACCAAATAGTATTCACAATGAAAATCTTTTAATCCCCAAAGAGCTGGTGAAGCGACTTTCCAGTGACATTAAAAGGGGAGAGGAAATACTCTTTTTGGGGACAAAAGGCTATACCTTAGAAGGCACTTGTAATAGACTGATATGTTATATTGCGCAGATAATCCGAGAAGCTGGACTATAGGCAGAAGGAGGCATCCGGGTCAGAGGGAAGCTATTGCACAACCTCCGAGATGCAGACGACACGCTCTTGCTTGCTATAGTGAGGAGGACCTGAAGCACTGGCTGATGAACATCAACGGTGGCAGCCTTCAGTATGGATTACAACTTAATGTAAAATAAGACCCAAACCCTCACAACTGGACCAGTAAGTAAGGTCGTGGCAAATGGAGAAAAGGTTGAAGTTGTGAAGGAGTTTGTCTTGCTTGGACCCACAATCCATGCTCCTGGAGGCAGCCGTCAAGAGATCAAAAGCTGTGTCTCCTTGGGTTAACCTGCTGCACAAGACCTCTGTACAGTGTTGAGAGCAGGGAGGTTGCTTTGAAGACTAACATGCGCCTGGCCCAAGCCATGGTATCTTCAATCACCTCATATACATGTGAAAACTGGATATTGAATAAGGAAGATTGAAGAAGAGGTGATGCTTATGGTGCTGGTGAAGAATACTGAAAGAAGAAACAAATATATCTTGGAAGAAGTGCAGCCAAAATTCTCCTTAAAGGCAGGGACAGTGAAACGTCGGCCCGTGTATGTTGGACAAGGTGTCAGGAGAGACCAGTCCCTGGAGAAGGACATCCTGCTTGGTAAAGTAGAGGGGCAGCGACAAAGAGGAAGACCTTCAACTGCATGGATGGACGCAGTGGCTGCAGCAATGGGCTCACACATAAGAACAAGGTTGGGGAGGGCACAGGACTGGGCAGTGCTTCCTTCTGTTGTCCATCTGGACAATCGAGTTGGAACCAACTCAATAGCACCGATCCACACTCTGCTGTGTGATGTGGTCTAAGAGCTTGGAGTGCACTAACCCTCCCCAATAATCATGGGGGTGGATGGTTCTTGATCCCCACCGTCATTACCATCCTTAAGAGACAGTGAGGGAATGAAGGCAACTGTGAGGTGAAGGAGTTTGTCCCAGGCCTTCCAGTTGGAAAGAGGCACGGTCAGGTTTGAATCTGGCAGATTGAATCTGGTAGGCGGCCCCGCTACACTTCCCCCCAAAGGGGAACAGCAGGGAGCTGGGTCTTCGGCTAGTTGTTCATAAACATCTCCTAATGTGATTCTGAGAATGTGAAAGTCTGGCCCTTGATAGGAGGTGTACTATCTACACCTCCTGTCAATTGCCACTGAATGGATCCCCATTCATGGGGACCCAGATTGGTCAGCATAGAGACAGATCTGTCAGCGTAGAGACAGATCAATGGCTCAATGGCATTTTAATTTTTTAAAGCCGATTTCCAGGCCTTTCTTTTACCTCTGGTTAACAGTTGGATAACAGTGCACCATCGGGCAAAACAGCTCCGAGAAGTTCAGTCGCTTGTTAAGGCCATCCAAGTAGACCTGGAAGAGCAGGGCTTTACTCCCGGCCAATCTGACCCTCTCCTTGCTCCTCCAACTAGAATACATGGCGTATCAAAGTGGGTGTATATTCAGCTTGTAAGAAAAAGCCCCTCTCCAGAAAGCAGTAACAGAAATCCTTTCGTTCTGTTGAAGAGAAATAGCTTCCTGAGCAAGAAGGAAAAAGGACAGAAACGATTGTTGGCCGTCTCCGGTTATGAAGGTGAGAAATACAATCCTCAAATCTCACTTCAGGTCTCAATCTTCAGTCCTCCCAAATTCATCAGACTTTCTAGCGAGAGCAAAGTAAGTAAAGGTGTCAGTCCTTCCTCTGCTGTGTTCACCCACAACGCAGGGAGCAGAAGGAGAAGCAACTGGAAATCAAGGGAGCCCTGGCAGTGGAGAAGGAGCCTTCAGACCACTGTGAGCCGACTGCCTCCAGGCATCCTCTTCCCCATAACTGTGAAGAGCATATTTCTCTATCTCTTCTACACCAGCAGCTGCCAAAGGGAGCCGTTCACCACAGCCAATGCCTTCATGACTTAAGAGCTCTGGGCTCCCTGAGGTGACACTCACGTCTGAGTGGCCACAGAGGCACAGATGGCACGAGGTGACACATTTGCAGGGACCATCTTTCCAGGTCTCTAGGGCTAGCCTTGTGGCTTGATGGAAAATTCAGAAGAGGTCGAGACAGGTCACAGCAAGAGGCCTGACCTGGTGTGCCCTCCCAGCCCAGCGGACTGCAGCGTGCTGTGAGCACAAAGCCAGGCTGCTGAGGTTGAGGCGGGCCAGTGCTGCTCAGAGAGCCTTGCTGGGTCCAGACACAGCACACACCCAGCTGTCAGGGGGTGCAGAAGCACAGAGCTCGCGAGGGACAGGGCAGGCTCTTCTGTCACCAAGCAGGACACCAACCAGCAGGTGCCAGGTGAGACAGCCCCGTGGGGAAGGAGCACAGAGAAGGAAGCTGTACCACCTGCAATAAGCAAAGATTGGACGGAACCCTGAGCCATGATCTTTGTTACTGCTGTCCGTTGTCATGGAGTCAGCAACCTCACGTGCCACAGATGGACCTACAGCGGCCCCACGCTCTCTGGCATCTTTGAAACCACTGCGCCTTCTGAGCCCCTTCCAACGTAGGAGGTACACTTTCCAGCACTGTGTTGGACAATGCTCTGTGGGGCTGCCTGGGCTTTCGCCAACTACTTTCAGAAGCACACCACCAGGCCTTTCTTCCTAGCCTCGAAGCTTGGCCGGACCCTGACTACTATGGGTGACATCGTTGGTCCTGAAATCATGGTGGCATTGCTTCCAGCATCATGGCAACAGGCGAGCCCCCCTAGTATGATCAGCCAAGTTGGGTGCTGGGGATAAAAAATCCAAACGGACCATGGTCTTCTCAGAGGGATGAGGGACCACGGTGCGGGAAAGCTGGCATCTTTCCAGAGTGGAATGAACACTCCCTGTTATCTTGAGCTTTCCATCCCGACAGTCCTCCCACCGTGGGAGGGAGGCTTCTTTACAAGAACAGCATCTTCATCCTCCCCCCACCTCCATCATCTGATAAAAGAGGAACATACTGGCACCATCCGTTGCTCAGAGAAATGAGAAAACAGCACGGTTCCCCTCTAGGAGCCTCCCATGCGTGCACACCACACACTTCACCTCCCATCTGGAGGGGTCAGCAACCTGTGCGCATCTGTCCGGGAACCTGTACAGGCTGGGGCCACGCACACGAAACTTACACGCTTGCATTCTTGAAACTGCACACGACACTTACAACGTTTTTGAATCGAGCTTTTGTTCAAACGAAAAGGTTGATAACATTAAGTGTAGGGTTTGAAATATATATATTTTTTAAAGTTTCTGATTTGGATCTAGTAAAATGGGCATTAAGGGAAAAGAATGAAATAATCATTATTGCAGGTAATCTGTGTGAGAACACTACTACCATCAAGGGTTTTGTTTTGTTTTTAACCAATTGGAGGCTTTGCCTTCCAATTTTGGCTTTCCAGTTCTTTTTTTTTTTCTTTAGAGTGAAGATTTTTAGTAGCAACGTGACTGTGGGCGGTCACTTGTTTTTATTTCGTTTTGGTTTTACTTTCCATTGTGAATTGGGAGAAGGTCTACAGCGTAGATTCTGAGTGAGTTCTGTGTTCAATTGTTCATACATATTGTGTATCACATTACTGATTGCCGTCCCCACGAAGAGACACCAACGCTGTCACTTCCTGCTTCAGTCCTCAGGGTTCTGAACTTTCCCTTGGGCTAAGCTGCCCCTTTGAGCTCACACTGCCGACCAGTCTAGGGAGGGCGTTCCTCCTCCAGTGGGTTCCTAAGTGGGCCCTGAAACCAATGCAGGGGGTGAAGTGTAACGTCATGGTGAAAACAAGGGAGGGGCAAAATGAACTGATGCCAAGGGCTCAAGCA